TTAAGAAAGTATTTAGTATTATATAGTGTCATATGTTTAAAAATTTAAAAAATTAACTGAATTTTAAATTTTTTTAAATAAGGAAGGAGATGTGGTGTCGGTACTATGATAAAACAATATAACAGGAATATTAAATGATATCATCACTCAACGTGGACTCCATATAAGGAGTAGAAATAACATCTATTTGGTTCAGTAATATCATATTATATTTATAGAAGAAGATACCCTTCATGTGGCTCTACCTGGAACCACGTAACACAAACCCTGCCCCCTACCTATGTACCTACGTCACAACCACTATATATAAGTCTCCTCCAACCCAATAAAGAGAGAATTATTAAACTGCATCACTGAGTTTAAATTACTGCTTGTCCAAACATTACACGGGGGTAATAATGGAAAACAAATGACTCATAACATAACAATATCGCACCATCCTTTGTATACCGCACCACCGCCGTGTACCTGCCTTCGATCATTCATTTGTTGTTATCAATAATGGTGTTGCGCCCGCGCAAAATGCTCACCGCACTAGCCGGGCTGAAGCCGAGCTATGATTTATGACCCCAACTGCACGGAAAAAATAATATTACCATAATAGCGATTATCCTACAGTTATGGTTAGCTGATTCCTTACGAAAGCTGTAAAATAATATATTTAAAATAAATTAATATAATATTAAATATATAGTACACTTTTATATCAAGGTATTTAACAAATAATTTAAAATTAAAAATTTTGTACAGCCGACTTCAATATAAGTTATTTAAGAATAACTTAAAAACTATTGGTCTGACCTTGATCAAATTTATATGGGACCACACGAGAAGTACCAGCTTTCAAATAAAAAAAGAATCATCGAAATCGGTTCACCCAGAAAAAAGTTCTGAGGTAACACACATAAAAAAAAAAAAAACGAAAAAAAAAACATACAGTCGAATTGAGTACCGGCTCCTTTTTGGAAGTCGGCAGAAAAAATTCAAGTATGAGTATCTGTGCATAAATACAATACCTATAACAATTAATACAATATCAATTGATTTAAATAAATTGCAGGTATATGTAAATGTAATGATAATATTATTCGTACTTACTTACTTATCTTCACGCACAATCCCTGACGGGGTAGCCAGAGAGAACAGATCGCCAAGTGACACGATCCTTACATACCTCTTTCGCCTCTTTCAGATTCATTATCTTCTTCATACATGCACGTCTAGGTATCCGAGTACTCTTGACCCTACCCTCTTCGAGCAATTTGCTCACGTGGTCTTCGAAAGTTAGTCTCGGTCTACCTCGACACCTTTTAATATTAACTTTCGCGCTATATATTTTCTTCACCATTCGGTCTTCACTCATTCGCTCAACGTGCCCAAACCACCGAAGCACGCGCTTATCAATTTTTGTGATTAGGTCATCTTTCAAACCTGCCATATTGCGAATCTCTTCGTTTCGCTTTCGGTCGGCCATGGTAACGCCGCACATTTTACGAAGAGATCGCATCTCCACTGCATTCAACTTGCTTTTATGCTTCTTCTGGCATACCCAGGTTTCGCTGCCATATAACAAAGTCGGTACCAACACTGCGTTATGTATTGCAAGGCGTGCACTCTTCACTACGCCTTGCCTTTTGACTAACGCAGTCAGGGCACCATTGACTTTGTTCCCGGCAGCGACACGCCTGTCCACATCTAAATCACATCTTCCATCCCGGCTAAAAGCACTCCCCAAGTATACAATTTCATTTACTTGTTCTAGACATTCCTGATTTACCCATATTTCACACTTCGTTCTCTCTTCGTCCCTTTCAAATACCAGAACCTTAGTTTTATTAGCGTTCAAACGGAGACCTTTAATTTCACATTCCTCTTTCATACACGTGACTAATGCCTGCAGTTCTGCCTCTGATGGTGCAATAAGCACTGCATCATCAGCATACAGCAGACAATTTACTTTAATGTCACCCAATTTCACACCCAAACAGCTATCTTTCAGCTTTTGTAAACAGCTGTCGAGATACAGTATGAACAGCCAGGAAGACATGACACAACCCTGTTTTACGCCCGTTTGGACGCTAAACATGGGTGACAGGTCATGCCCTACCCGCACACAGGCTTTACAGTCACAGTAAAGAGACTGCACAGTCCTTAGCAATCGACCATCCACACCATACCCCGGCAACAGTTCCCACATTTTCTTCCTTACAACCTTATCAAATGCTTTCTCAAGATCCACAAAAGCACAGAAAATCTTCTGGTTAGCAGTCAGAAGCTTTTCCGTGATTATGCGAGAGAAAACATTTGATCCGTGCATCCTCTTCCAGGTCTAAATCCGCATTGTGCCTCCCATAGAAATCTTTCCGATTTCTCTTGCATCCTACGTGTCAAAACCTTCGAGTAAACTTTACTTGCTAAACTGGTCAAGCAGATCGCCCGATAGCACCCGCAGTCAAAATGTGAACCTTTACCTTTATATAAAGGCACAATGACTGCGGATCGCCAATCATCCGGGACATCCCCCGTCCGCCAGCACAAATTGCACAGCAGATGAAAGCTGTCCCAGACGCGAGGCCCACCATACTTGACCATTTCAGCAGTAACTCTGTCTAGTCCCGCAGCCTTACCACATTTCAAACTTCGAATCGCACGTTCAATCTCTTTCATACTGATGACCTCAGTGTCATCGAGGTCCGGGTCTGGCGTACCAGTCACGGCGTCATCCCCGGATCCCTCACTAAGATCATCACACACATACATTTCTCTATAAAATTCGCTCCATCGCTGCATGACGTCCGATTTTTCTGAGAGGACGTCATTAGTTCTCGAAAGCACTTTGTTCATTCTTAAGGCCGTCGCACCACTTCGGGTCCTTGCAACCTCTTTCCAGAAGAGTTTGGAGTTCTCCTTAAAGTTGTGCGACAACCTTTCGTCCGCTTCCATTCTACACCTTTCACGCACTTCCTCAATCAATGCTTTCGTGTGAACTTTCTGCAGCCTATATCTTTCTTTCATCTTCTCTCTCATATCCTTATCATTACTAGAGGCCAAGTAGTCTAACCATGCTTTCTTCTTCTTCTTTGCAGCTTCTTTCACTTCATCATTCCACCATGCATCTCTTCTTTTACTACTGCCTCTTTTTATTGTTCCACACACTTCTTCCGCTGCACTTACCATTCCATCCCTAAGGTTCTGCCATGTTCTTTCTACACATTCGTTTCTGCCATCGATGGTGTCAAGCTTTTCGGCTACCCTCGCATGATATTTGTCCCTAGTATCCGCTTCCTGAAGCTTCCAGCTTTGGATGCGACAGACCGACTGTGGTTCTGTCACTGCCGTCCGGTAGCGCCAACCCGCGAACAGACCCCTAAATCTAGTAATCACTAGATAGTGATCCGTTCCCAGGTCAGCACCCCTGAACACTCGCGTATCCATAACCTGTTTTCGCAGTCGGTCATCCACCAGGAACAAATCGATCATACTTCTCTCATTCTTTCTTTCTCTAGTATACATATGGATTTTCTTGTGATTAAACATAGTGTTTGTCACAAGAAGACCCTTTTCCTTGCATACCGCCAGTATAAGCTTGCCAGCATCGTTAACCCTTTTATCGCCAAACTTTCCAAGTACCGACTCGTACCCTGGTCGGGCGGTACCAACCCATCCATTCAAATCACCACATACAACAATTCTTTCGTTTCCCCTAGCCAAATCTAGAACTTCTCTTACATTCTCCCAAAACTCCTCCAGCTCAGCCCTGGACGACGAAGCTACCGGCGCATAAACAGCCAAAAGGAATAACTTCGTCAGTCCCAATTTAAAGCGAACCCAGAGAAGTCTTGAGTTCACAAACTTATATTCAGTCATAACATCGACCAACCGAGAAGACAGCAGCACCTCCACTCCCTGGCAGGCGTTCTCGCTCTACGGGACTCCGGACCATAGAGCTAACGCCCCGCCAGGGAGCTCTTCAGTACCACTGCCCTTCCGTTTGGTCTCCGACATACACACGACATCTAATTCTCTTTCTTTCATTATTTCGATCAACTCATTCGTCTTATCTCTCATGCCTCCTCTAACATTCCACGTGCCAACTCTGCACTCTGTCCTCCACATATTATTCGTACCAAACATTTAAAAAATTATGTACATATTAAGCTTTAGATATTGTTAATTAATACATTTACAGCCTAACAAATGTCCTCCATAGCTGAACATAGACCTCCCACATAGTTTGTCTGCAAAATAACTACAGTTGCGAATCCTCCTGCCAAGCTAGGCAACTATCACAAAAACTATAACTTTGACTTTTGATAATGACTAATGGTAACTGTAAGTATATTATCATCAAAAAAAATCTAGATCATTAATTGAGAATATTATCGTGTTTTTGTGTCCTTAAGATTAAGACTTATTTATTTATTTATGATTTTATCTATATTTATATTTATTTTTATATAAGTATGATATATTTTTTAATAAATATTGTAATGTAATTGTTGCTAATGTATAATAGAATTAATGAAATGCAATAAAGTTTTGTGCATCTGATTTCAGGCAATACATATTTTGTGATAAAGCATGAACGAAACTTCATTGCAATTGAAATCTTCTTAACACTAAAACCTCCATAACAGTAATCTTAACGAAACGGGAACACCAAACAAGCTAATCAAGCTTTCGTTTCACGAAACGGCCATCGTTTTTTTTGCCATGTTTTTCAATTAAACACGTCGTGAAACACTTTATTGAAGCCGCTATTAAAATGGAATTTTTCATAAGCCGCTATTGATATTCGATAGATAGTTTCGTTACAACCCACCGCTAAGGCTACGCTGTATTGGCGTAGCTCCCTTTGCCCAGTAAAAAAAAAAAACAAAAAAGTCAGCATCAGTCAGCGGTCGGCTGTCATTTTTCTACACGTTCTACAACAGTTTTCTATTTATCAATTCGCCATTCAAATAATATCCTATATTGGTGTAACAGTTGTAATTTTAATCATGGTTATTTCTTTTTGGATCGGAAATTTTCATTCATTTGCATTAATTATTTGCACATTCGTTATATACGCTTGTTCAGAAGTTCCAAGACCTCGCGGTGTTTCTTTATCTAAATCGTCTCTTTACTCTCCTACGAAAGATTTTACATGTTTTGATGGAACTGTAACAATTCCATTTAGTTACGTGAATGATGATTATTGCGACTGTTTTGATGGCAGTGACGAACCGGGAACTTCTGCATGCTTAAATGGCATTTTCCATTGCACAAATGCAGGTCACCGTCCGCAAAATATTCCTAGCTCTCGTGTAAACGACGGAGTTTGTGATTGCTGTGACGGAACCGATGAATATGCGGAACCTGATACATGCAAAAATATATGTGAAGAAATGGGTAAAGAAGCAAGGGCTGAAGCACAACGGTTAGCAGACTTACATAAAGCTGGCAATCATTTCAGACTAGAATTAATAGAAAAAGGGAATAAAAAGCGAAATGAAATGGCAGAACAACTGTCACAATTAGAAAAAGACAAAGAGGAAGCATTGAAAATTATGGCTGAGAAAGAAGCACTCAAAAATGAATTAGAAGCTAAAGAAAATGAGGTCCTCCAAGTTTATAGAGATGCCGAAGAAAAGGAAAGACAGAGGAAAGCTGAAGAAGAAAAGGAAGCTGTAACAAAAGAAGCTATGGAATACTTCACCAGGATTGACTCAAATCAGGATGATGTGTTAACTACAGATGAAATAAAAGTAATAAATTCTTTTGATAAAAATAAGGATGGTGAAGTAGATCAAGAAGAATTACAATACTTTTTAGGAAACAATGAGAATGTGGATAAAGATACCTTTATTTCAACAACTTGGCCCTTGTTAAAACCTTTGGTAATGATGGAACAAGGTATGTATCAACCTACTTCAGAAGTAGAGGATAATGATCAGGATGCAAATCATGATGCTGTAGGGGAATTAGATAATGATGATGCTGAGGAAGAAAATGTTGATGAAGAATTGGCACATGATGTTGATCAGGATGTAGAACCAGAACAGTCAAGCCAAAGCTATGATGAAGAGACTCAGAAAATTGTTGATGAAGCAACTGAAGCCCGTCGTCAATGGACCGATGCTGAGCGCACTGTTAGGGAGATTGAATCAAACATAAAAAATTTCCAACAAAATCTTGAAAAGGATTATGGCCTGCAACAAGAATATGCCACTCTTGATGGACAGTGCTTGGAGTATGAAGACAAAGAATATATTTATAAATTGTGTTTGTTCCAAAAAGTAACACAGAAGTCTAAGAATGGAGCAGCAGAGGTTGGGCTTGGAAATTGGGGTGAGTGGGCTGGTGAGGATAATAATAAATATTCTGTAATGAAATATACCAATGGAATTGCTTGCTGGAATGGACCAAGCAGAATGACCACAGTAAATATACACTGTGGGTTAGAAACAAAAATATTGTCAGTCACAGAACCTTATCGATGTGAATATAAAATTGAACTTGCAACACCTGCTGCATGTGATGAATCTAATATCACACAACAGCCATCACATGATGAACTGTAGTTTAAAGTTTATTACTTTAAACTACAGTTTGTGTACAATGTGAGTTTTCATATCCCTATGTGATTTTTGCCACAAAAGTTACTAGTAAGAGTTAATTTATCATTAAACAAAATGTCATACTTTTTTTTACATTTTAAATGTAAATATTGCTAGTAGAGAAAATAATTTATGTATATCTAAGAGTAAACAAGTGATTAGTTTTGATTCATTTTGATAATTGATTTAGTTTCTGTGGCACTTTATTTTTATTTATTTTTGGTAAACTTAGATTTATTTGAGCCTAGAGTATGTCACCGTAGAGATAAATGTAATCTAATAAAGTAACACAATGTTTTGAACTAAAGACTGAAGTGGCAAGAATAGAAAAACCGTAACACATTCCTTGAGTAAGGCTGTATTAGTTCATTTTATAGTGAAAGGAGTATAGTAAATCAATGAAGTTGAACAAAACATTGTAAGTGAATAATAAAATAATGTTTTTGATTGTGAGTTGTTTTATTACCTTTTATGATTTTATAATTATTTAATACTCCATGTGATTATGGCATCCATCACCCTTAACATCCTGTGGGTGTCCTAAGAGGCGACTGGGAAATGCCAGGAAAATGTCATGGCTTCTCTCTCATAGATGATGTTATAATTATCTTGCATAATTAGACGTAAAATACCTAGTCTCGGGCAGGAAGCAGCAACAAAGGTGCAAGATGTCTGGTACTGTGATTGTCTAGCATGGTGATTAAGTCAAATACTTCCGCCTCCAAGACTTTAATTATGGGGCATGAAAAGAGCCTGATAAGCTTGCGTGGATTGGCATATCTGCAGTCCTTTCTTCTCCGCAGTCTCGTTTTGCAACATCACTTGCTCACAAATAACAGACATAGTCTTAATCAAAGGTGGTAGCCAGAGATGGTCACCCACTACAGACACAAAGTGAAGACGCAACTTCGCCCATGCCAGGCATTTCTCTAGGGAATGCTTTGATGTGCCCTCCTTGCTACCACAGTGTTGGTACTCAGTTATTGGCTCTCATGGCACAAGTACAAGTACTTAAGAAAAGGCAACTGTACCAACTGTAAGATCAATGAACCATGCAGGCTGTTCATCGAGTCTGACAGTACATGCTGCCTACTGTCTCTGACTGTAGCATCGGAATCTGTTAAAGCTAGTGAGAAAAGATTTTTAGTGTTTGTACATAATACATACATGAGAGTATACTACTCTAATTTTTTTTTGAAATGTCCAACTTACTTTCATACATCAATGTGAAGGAATATCAAACAAAACTACTATTATTTATAATACTATTATTACATATTGGAGTATTTATAAAACATTCTCATCTGGTTGGGCTGAATAAATATATGAGGACATTATAAATATATATGAAATATACTAACATAAATAAATAAAAACCCAACCAGATGGAAGCCCTTGGCAGGAGAGATCAAACGGCCGAGGGTTAGGGAGAAAGGGAAAGAAACCGGCGGACGATGCGGGCGGTATCGAGGAGCGGAGGTGAGTCTGGAGCGGTCCATCACGGAGTCCCAGTCGCCTCAGATGACCCGAGAGGCTGACCAAAATTAACCCGTTCGCGGAGACGACTACAGAAATAATTTCGGTCGGCAGACCACCCCACATGTTGGTAGCGTCGTGAGCCAGGTCTAGATATTTTATTTTATTATCTCTTTCGACTTTCACGAGGTTCTCGTCATACGGAATGGTAATGTCGACCTAAAATACCCTTGACTGTGCCCGGTCCATCAGCACAATATCAGGTTAGGCAGCAAGAATAGTCTGTGATGATGGCCCGGTCCCAGTAGAGCCTGGCGCGGTAATTTTCGAGCACGGCTTCCGGCAAGTACTTATAATAAGGCAGTTCCCGATCCACGAGACCTTATTTCAGAGCGAGCTGCTGGTGTAGAATCCTGGCTAATAGATTGTGTCTGTGCAAGTACTCAGAAAGAGCCGAACAACCGGATATGACATGCCTAAGTGACTCACCGGGATGGCGACAAGCTCGTCAGATGTCGACGGCGCCATCCTTTAGGATGTATAACCGATAGCTGTTGGTCATAATAACCTGATCTTGTATCGCACAAACAAAACCCTCGGTTTCCCCAAAGAGGTCACTCATCTATACATATAATAAATCTGTAGAAAAGTCGTGTCTGTAATTCTATTATATTCTTGAAAAAACAAGTCCAGGGGACTAAATAAAGGGTTCTGAAGCCAAATTAGTTGTTTTTAGAATTTTTGTCTGTCTGTCTGTGTATTACGGATTCACGCAAAAACCACTGGACCGATTTGCATGGAATTTTATATGTAGTAGTTAGTAACCCCCAGGGCAACTTATAGGCTACTTTTTATCCGTTTATGGAACTTCAAAAAAGAAGGTTAAGTATTTTACTTTAGATGTTAATTTTCTATTATATCTTAGTTATAGGCGGGATGACGGGTGTTTTCATTTTTTTTAGTATAGGGTGACAAACGAGCACAAAGTCCACCTATTGGTAAGTATTTTCTGAGGCCCATAGACATCTACATTTATCCTCGTTTGCGAATCAAAATACAGATGCGTTGTCACCCGTGAGGACTAAGATGGAATGCCTCTTTTCCAGTAAAAAGTGTCGCCGGTTCTCTACACTCACCCTACGAAACCAGCAGTGTTAAGCTGCTATTTTACGCTGGTATTCTGTGAGAGCGTGGCCTCCTTCCTCGGTCGAGCCGACCCATTCGTGCTACAGCTATACTACTAATATAGCTGCAGCATGGCTCTACCACGTATAAAACACCATATTTATAAATAAAGTAAACTGTAAAATAATTTGAAACTACACCTATTTAGTAATCAAAACAGCGCCATCTATCATTAAATGGAAAAGTAGTACATTTTGCCTTCAGTAACTAATAAATTAAATATGTAATATAAATAATTTACTTTTATTGGATTTTTAAAATTGTTTAAAAATTCTAACAATAGAATACAATTCAAATTTTTACTATAATAGCGACGTCTATCAAAGATATGAAATTTGATAAGGGTTTTATTTCAATTACTAATCTATATGTAAACTAATTAAAATTGGTGTGTTTGCAATTATTGCAAAATTTTCATTATCATTATAGTTTTATTAAAGAGATTTTTATATATGTCGTGGCCAGATCGTAGAATTGATCATATAACATAAAGTAGTCTATCATTTCGTGAAATGATGTGATCATTTCATGATATTTAACACTGTTTGTTGACTTGTCATGATATACCTTGACCAAATCAATGAATAGAAATCGTTTGAAGATATTAATACAACGTTGCTATTTCATGTTATGGTCATATGACGATATCATTAAATCGTTGTTTAGTTTTACTCAATTTTGAGTGAGATTGAGAGGTTCTATCGGCAGCTGTACACGTCATCGTTGGAGCCACACGCAAGTGTGAGTAACAATCCAAGAGAGAGTCTTATCCGACACTATTCCGAAGATATCCCGGACGTCAGTCTGAGCGAGACTAGAATGGCTCTCCAGCACCTTAAAAATGGCAGAACCCCAGATGAGGATGGAATTACAGCGGAGCTTTTGAAAGCGGGTGGAAAACCGGTACTTGAAGTCCTTCAGAAGCTCTTTAATTCCGTCCTCCATGGTGGCACTACTCCGGAGGCGTGGAGCAGAAGTGCGGTGGACTTGTTCCTCAAGAAAGGCGACAATGCTCTCTTGAAGAACTACAGATCGACTTCCCTTCTGAGCCGCGTCTACGTGCTGTTTTCGAGAGTCATTAAGAATCGTCTTGACGACTTCCAGTCTACCGAACAAGCCATATTCCGAAAAGGCTTTAGTACCATAGACCACATACATACCCTTCGGAAAACTGTACAGAAGACAAAGGAGTATAATCTGCCACTTTGCCTTGCGTATGTTGACGATGAGAAAGCCTTTGATTCCGTTTAAATTTGGGCGGTGGTACAGTCCCTTCAGCGGTGCCAAGTTGACTGTCGGTATATCGAAGTGGTGAAGTGTTTGTACAGTAGAGCTACGATGGCTATCCGAGTACAGAATCAGAGTACGAAACCTATCCAACTGCAGAGAGGTGTAAGACTGGGTGACGTTATATCCCCGAAACTCTTCACCGCTGCATTGGAAGACGGTTTCAAGCTACTGGACTGGAATGGATTCGGTATTAACATCAATGGCGAGTACATCACTCACCTTCGATTTGCCGACGACATAGTCCTTATAGCAGAATCGCTGAAGGACCTAATCACTATGCTCAATGACCTCAATAGTGTCTCCCAACGGATAGGTCTTAAGATCACATGGAAAAAACAAAAATGAAAAAATGTTTAACGTCCATGTCACACCTATGCCGGTGGTTGTTGGGAGCACTAAGTTCGAAGTTGTTGACGAGTATGTTTACCTGGGACAAATAGTCCGACAAGGTAAGTCCAGCTTCGACCGAGAGGGAAATCGACGGATTCAACTCGGCTGGGAAGCGTTCGGGAAACTAAAACACATCTTCTCGTTGGACGTACCTCAAAACCTGAAAACGAAATTGTACAACCAGTGCGTGTTGCCAGTGATGACTTACGGATCTGAGACGTGGTACTTCACTGCTGACCGTATGAAGAAATTCAAGGTTGCTCAACAAGCTATGGAGAGGGCTGTGCTTGGGGTTTCTCTACATAGTAAACTTAGAATTGAGGATATCCGCAGTAGAACAAGAGTAACCAACATAGCGCAATTGATTAGTAAGCTGAAGTGGCAGTGGGCCGGCGATATAGCTCGAAGAACCGACAACCGATCGGGAAGAAAGGTTCTCGAGAGGCAGCCTCGTATCGGTAGGTGAAGTGTAGGGCGACCCCCCACTAGATGGAGTGATGACCTGGTAAGACATGCAGGAAGTCGATGGATGCAGGTGGCTCAGGGCCGTGCTTTGTGGCATTCCTCGGGGGAGGCCTATGTTCAGCAGTAGACTTGTGAAAGGCTGTTAGTTTTTTTTTATC